GGGGGGGGGGGGGGGGCAGTTCTAGATCTTCATCTGGGTGGTGGTAATAGGGGTGTATACATATGTAAAATTTCAGCAAGCTACACACTTGAGATTTGAGTACTTCCCTATATATAAATTATACTTCAGGGGGAAAAAAAAGGAAATTCAAAAGAAGAAGAAATACATTTGCCTAAACTACATCCCCAACAACCAAATCAGCATTAGAAAGGGAAAGACACAGAATACTTGAGAGTCTATATATCTATTTCACAGGGAAAAGTCTCCTTCCCTACCAATGCTGTCTCTCATCACAGATTTTCATCTCTTCTTGTGTAACTGCCTACTTTTACACATGAAATAGGGTTTTTTTTTTAAATATGGACATAATAGATCTAACAGTTTGCATGTAAACTTTAAAAAATTGTTTTAATGTTTATTTATTTTTAAGAGAGAGAGAGAGAGAGAGCAAGCAAAGTAGGAGCAGAGAGAGGGAGACACAGAATCTGAAATAGGCTCCAGGCTCTGAGCTGTCAGCACAGAGCCCGATGAGGGGCTTATATTCACGAACCCTGAGATCATGACCTGAGCCCAAGTTGGATGCTTAACTGACTGAGCCACCCAGGCGCCCCTGCACATAAATTTTTGTAATTATTTCATCTATAGCTTTTTAAGAATGACTTTTACAAGTAATAAATATTCTACTTACAAATTGTTAGTTTCACTAACAACTTGAATTTTTGTGGTATTTCTCATATATGGCATTCATAGTAAATGTCCTAAGTGATATCTTTGGAAGTTCAAAAGGTCTTCTACATTATGAATCCAGTAAATCAGCAATTTTAGTCACCTTCTGTTATATTTCATGGTTAGAGTCTAACTATAGAATTGATTAACTCCAACATACATAAGAGAATTTTATTCTAGAAAAAGGTTTAGTTCACCTCTTAAGCTTACAAAAGACTAATTTCTTTCCTCCTATACTTTAAAAACAACCTATTTTCAAAATATAAGTAGCAATTCAAAAAAAGAAAACTGTGTAGAAAGCTGTTTCCTTCACAAGAGAATGAGAACTAAAAGTCAGAATTTTCCCCTATAATTTAGAAATGTTTGGTAAATGTTTGGGTGGCTCAGTCAGCTAAGCATCTGGCTCTTGATTTCAGCTCAGGTCATGATCTCACAGTTTGTGGGTTGGAGCCCCACTCTGCACTCTGCACTAGCAGCTTGGAACCTGCTTTGGATTCTCTCTCTTTCTCTCTGCCCCTCTCCTGCTCCTGCTGTCTCTCAAAAAAATTAAAATAAAAAAAAAAAAAAGATTTGGTAAAAATCTCAGAATAGTCTTAGTTTTAAGAACTACTGAAGTTTTTGTTTGTATCCAACAGAAAAGAGCTCATGTTCATGTGCTCTTGTGTTACGATTACTAACTACTTAAAATGAAAACAGTCATCTATTTCTAAATCATATGTAAAAAATTTGTATTTAGCTTCTTTAGTGAACTACACCCTTACCCAGGTCAATAAAAAGGACATATGAAGTCAATATAAGCCATGTTCATCTCCTACCTCCCTCAGCATCCCACCTTTGCAGGCAGATAGGTTAATGAAATAAATTCAAAACTATCTCCTTCTTTAATTTCATTCCCTTAGGAAAAGCATGACCCACCACCAAATCAGTGTTAAGCTGAGGCATGTTATCCCAAAACTCAACAATGTTTAATGCCATTTTCAATTAACAGAATAAATTATTTATAGCATAAATTCTCTATGGAAAGCATATCAATGAAAATTAATAAAGATGTTTCAGCCTAGAAGCCACTAACCAGGTGTGTAACCTCACTCAGGCCCTCATAACCTTCCCATGGCTTCAGCGTCTTCCCCAGGAAAAGAACTGCAAACACATGACACATGTGTAGACTGCTACTCTCCTCTGAACGACCACTACTAATTGATCAGAGATGGATTCAGAAATGGCACCTGAGGTGAAACTTATCTGTCATTGCTAGGCAAATGATCTAAGCTTCTTTCCCCTTTGAACATTCTGTCTGTGACCTACTTGGAATCAAATACATTTGCAGGAACAGCTCAGACACACATAAATATGATATATACAAGCTTACTTAAGGAGTCAGAACCTCAAATATCATCTTTAAAGGCACAGTCTTTAAAAAATATATGCCACTATTCATTTCTCTATTTCAGATGTAAAACTGGGAAATAACCAAGTCTAAATGGATGAAATACTGTATCTTTCTCAATTTGCTAAACATGTAAAATAGTGTCATTTAATATGAATTACATTCCTGATACTCAGGCATTCCTGATGATGCCTAAAGAGATCCCTACAAAAAGAATTTACTGAAAAGCTTCCTGGAAAATCAACTGTTACTTACCTTAAGGCAGATGCATATGACACACCCAGTTTCAGATTAATATAGAACTCATAAAGGTGAGCACCCTGACAAGAGCTTAATTACATAACTCTGTCAAAGTGTTATTTCTAGCATCTTCACGTGGCTTCTGAATGTCAAATGCCATGTAAGGAAAGCCCTTTCTTCTAAATGCTCCACTCCAAATTTCCAATTCCTTCTTCTTCGTCCCTATCAAATTCCCATTCCCTCAGCCCAACTTTCAACTGTTAGAAAAACACTGATTTAAGTAAAATTATTTTTTGCTTTTTTTCAGAGGAAAAATTCCAAAGTCAGGAAGGGGGAGGGAAATAACAATTGCCTGGTACCATCAAAAAGTATTTGGAATCAAATATAAATTTGATTTATATTTATTAAAAATAAATCAAGTATAAATTTATGGACAGAGGGAGATTCAATGATCAAAACAGAAAATAAGTGCTTACAGCAGGCTAGTTAATGTTAGGTGAGGGAGACATGGTAACCAAGAATGGTAACCCATTCCTGACAGAAGTTAAACTAGCCAGGAAAAACAAGTAACTAAAGCAGTTTCAATGAAACAAATGACTAGTGCCATGAGAGTTGGGAGAAGGACATAATATAGTCTTAAAAATCAGAGAAGGCCTCGGGGCACCTGGCTGGCTCAGTCCTAGAGCATGCAACTCTTGATCTCAGGGTCATGAATTCAAGCCCCACACTGGGCGTGGCCCTACTTAAAAAAAAAAAAAAAATCAGGGAAGGCCTCCTATGAAAAGATCAGCCAAGGATATAGCAACATTTGAGAAATAACATGACACAGCTGAGGAATTGCAAAAACTACAGTATACCTGACACAGAGAAGCAAGATATGAAACTCAGAGATTATCGAAGACCAGGGAAGCCACACTAAGGAACCAGACTTTATCTCAAAATGTAATAGTCACTGAAGCTGACTTATTTGAAAGAGCACAGATGTACTTCTACAAAAGTCTCTATCAGCCTACTTCACCCATTATTGTAAAGGTGATCAAAAAAAGGGGAGGCGTGAAGAAATAACCAAAAGGGAGAGAACAGCGTATCAGAGGCTTTAAAATATACTCAGACACCTTGGGTTAGAGCTACAATGCCTGTAACATAGATGCTCAGTCACATACATCCATATGGACTGCACGCAAAATGGAATTATGGAGATGAGGAAGAATCAAGAACTCAAACGAACTTAGATTACTGTCTTAACTGAGAAGTCTTAGCAAGAACTGGATTTTTGTAAAATGAAAGACACAGCTCTTACTGTGTTTTGTCTATTATTTTTAAACAGGGTTGGTTGGCTGTTTTTTGTTTTTAACTGGGTTCAATTTAAAAGACACTATTCACCTTGTTATACATATATCTAAGCATGAAGTCCAGTAGAAATGATTTCCCTTTACGAAAAGCTCCTGCCACGGATACCACTACTATGTTAAGATCTCGTATGTGTTCCTGTAGCAATATCTGCTCCAAAGCTTCTTCATCGAGCTCAAAGTTATGGTCATCTTCATGAGCAAGAACAATCTGTACTGGACATGGTTTCTTCATAACCTCATCAGAGTTTACTAGGTCATCATCTTCATGATTCTCACCTAAAATTAAAAAAAAGAGAAAAAGGTTACTTGAATTCCTGCATTACAAACTTCTCCTAAGGGATCACAACTAAAGCAAAATTTCAAGTAACTTCCCCTTTGTTACAGATCATCTGCAAAAAGTGATATTCAAGTACATATTGGATTTCTCACTGCCTCTATAGTAGGACCAAGAATATTGGTAAGATTTCCCACTATACACACAGATAAGCACAATACTAAGTATAGCCTCTACTATTAAGTCTAAACAGCTAATTGTGAACAGTAGCTGTTTCTTGAGCACTGCATTATTCTATAAACAATTTCTGCTACTGTATACACACTGAAACCGGATCTATGCGAGGGGAGGATTGGGGGGGGGGGTCAATTTTACCTAATAATTCAAATTCCAATTTTCCTGGTAGGCATTTCCTGGATATTATTCCAAGTTACAAAGATTAAAACATATGAATTGTAAACATTTTTCACTATGAAACTTAAATGGCTACGCTAGGGTCCTAAGGAGTTTCTAAAACTGACACTAGTGGTAAAGTTAATGAGTCCCTAATTTAGTAAGAGTAACCTAATAGTACAGCTTCCTTTATTAAAGCAAAGCACAGGATTGATGTTCTGTTGGAAAACACAAAATGAATAGGCAGTGAGGTACAGAGTTATATCCTATAGTTTCATCTGCCTCTGGGCTCTTACAGACCACAACCACCATTTCAAATTACCTAACTCCCCAAAACAGGTATATCAACTCTTCCTTTGTTCACCCAGCACACCAAAACAAGGTAATCTTTGCAGAACTTTACTGAATAGTAATGAAGAAATAACAATAAAACACACAACAGCAGGAGATGCCTGTGTCACACTGACAGCACAGAGCCTGCCTGGGATTCTCTCCCTCCCTCCCTCCCCCTAAACCTCTCCTGAGCACACACATGGTCATTTGTTCTCTCTCTCTCTCTCTCAAAATAAACACTTAAAAAAAGATATGCAACAGCAGAGACAAGTTTCTAAAGTTTAGGTTTCTGTCCTTTTAATAAAACAAAACAAACAAAAACACCTAATAGCTAATTTCAGAGACTTCTATCCCTTGTCAGGCTTTCTTCCCTATCAATTGCTTGATCCCATGTAGCCAAATCACTGGTAGGGACCTTATCCTCCCCCACCCCAACATTTTTAAGAGACTCTCCCCTTGAGTCTGTCTACTAAATGACCCTTTGCAATCTAAGGAGACATACAGTATCTACTGTGTTCAGTGCAATGACAGTCCCTTCTCTCCCAGGAGACAGCCAGTCCACTGAGGAGTGGCATATTAGTAGCCAACACGGCAAGAATACCTTATCCAACTAACCACTATTCTTAAAGATTATACATCTACATTCATGGCTCTTTTTTTCCCCTAGAAAGAAATATCTAGCTTGTTTGATTTGCAAAAACTATGAGAGCCTTTTCTTCCATCACAAGGCACCTTTAACTGAACATAGCAAAAGCAGCAACACTATTTCAAAATGTGCTACAAACAGTGACAATATAAAGAGCAAGCAATTTCAAAGGAGAATCATTGGAAGTAAAAGCAATCAATATTTAATTAAAGATGATATTGTCACTTCCAGTTTCAATGGTATACAAATACAGAATGGTACCTAACTGGTCTCCCTTTTTGCTCCCTCCTTTAAACCAATCTAGGGGCGCCTGGGTGGCTCAGTCGGTTAAGCGGCCGACTTTGGCTCAGGTCATGATCTCACGGTCCATGAGTTCGAGCCCCGCGTCGGGCTCTGTGCTGACAGCTCAGAGCCTGGAGCCTGTTTCAGATTCTGTGTCTCCCTCTCTCTGACCCTCCCCCATTCATGCTCTGTCTCTGTCTCAAAAATAAATAAAACGTTAAAAAAAAAAAATTTAAACCAATCTAAATTCCACAGAGTAGTAACAAAATAATATAGATAAATGTGATTGTTATTAAATTACTCTCCTTGAAATCACTGTTACAGAGCATTAACAACTAAAATCCTACACATACCTTATAAAATCCTGTACTCGCTGCCAAATCTCTCCTGCCCCAAATACATTTGGTGCTACTCTTGCCTGTGTAAACTACGAATAGACAAGCTAGCCTTTTTTCGGATTCTTATGCTACTAAAGCTCTTTCTAGACTCATATTTCACTGAGGATATTCCTTTGTCTGGAATATTCTTTCCATGTTGTTGCCCTAATCAACTCATGCTTATTCCTTAAGCCTCCGTTTAAACATCATTTCCTAAACGTCATTTCCTCAGGAATATCTTTCCTAAGGTTCCTAATCAAGTTTAGTCCTCCTATACTCCCCTAATCTGAATCTACCCATCATTTGAATATTTATGTAAATGCTTATTTATTATAGGTCTCCCCCTCTAGACTGCCAATCCTCTGTTTAAAACCCTCAATTAGCTTCCCACTGTAACCAGAAAATATACAGAAAAAAACAAAACTCTGAAGGTCCTGACCATGACCTCCACAGTCCTATGTGATCTGGCCCTCACAATCGCAATTGGGACCTCTTTCTGTTCCTTGAACAGGTCAAACCTGTTTCCCACCTTAGAATCTTTGTCCTGTGTTCTCCCCTGTCTGGAATGTTCTGTCCCTAGAAACTCATGTGGCTTTATCTTCCATCATCTAGGTCTCAGCTCAAATGTTCTCGTAAGTGTGGCCTTCCTTGACCATTCAGTCTACACACCCTTCCACATCACTTTAACAAAACAGGTTTTGTGGTTTTTTTTTTCCATAGTCCTTTTCAATATCTAAAATAACCCTTTTTCATTTGTTTACATTTCTGCCTTATATCTCTCCCTCCATAGAAAGTATATACCACAAAAATAAGAATCTCAATCATCCTGTTGGTCACTCTATCTCCCAGCACCCCAAATAGTGCTTGGCACCTAGCAGGTGCTTAATAAATATTTCTTGAATGAAAGAAATTTACACATTTTACTCAGGAGTTTTATACCCACCTGCCCCTAGGTATTTTACAAGCAAATCTGACAATCACATAACTAGTTTGGGAAAATACTTCCAGCAACTCAAGAGTAGTATATTTATCACAAAATTACAGTGAGAAGTATGAAGTTCTACCAATACACTAATTAAAAAAAACCCAAAATGAGTAAGTGCTAAAATATCACAATGACCAAATTTGGAGATTGCTGATTTTGTTAAAACCAACAAACAGTCTTGTTCTTACTGTAAAGAAAGCATTCGTTTCTTAAAAATAAAACAAACAAGGGCCCTTGGGTGGCTCACTTGGTTAAGCATCCAACTCTTGATTTCAGCTCAGGTCATCTCATGATTCGTGAGATCAAGGCCCACATTGGGCTCTGCACTGACAACACAGAGCCTGCCTGAGATTCTCATTCTCTGTCTGTCTCTCTGTCTCTCCCTCTCCCTCCCTCCCTCTCTCCCTCTCCTCCCTCTGACCCTTTCCCACTCACTGCATTCTGCTTCTCTGTCAAAATAAACATTAAAAAATAAAGAAAAACAAACCACTTGTTTTTAACAAGTTATTAACTTGAAATTTCACCTAGATTGGTTGACTACAGTTACCATGTAGCCAATTTTCTTTTATTAGCGTGGATAAAGATAGGTACCTCAGATATACAGGCAGCAGGTGTCTACGTTTTTGTCACCATTTCTAGGCTACAGACTTCTAAAGTGAAGTGCAGCAAACATGTTTCAAAAGCATGATGGAGCACAATGACACGGTTCACTAAGTTTACTCCCCCACCATGATTTCTCTACCATTTTTGTACTAACTACAGACACAGTACTTCATTCATCAAACACTGATATAAGCAACTAAATACAAGAATTGTACATTTCGGGGTGCCTGGGTGGCTCAGTCGGTTGGGCGGCCGACTTCGGCTCAGGTCATGATCTCGCGGTCCGTGAGTTTGAGCCCTGCATCGGGCTCTGTGCTGACAGCTCGAAGACTGGAGCCTGTTTCAGATTCTGTGTCTCCCTCTCTCTGACCCTCCCCCGTTCATGCTGTGTCTCTCTCTGTCTCAAAAATAAATAAACGTTAAAAAGAAAAAAATTAAAAAAAAAAAAAGAATTGTACATTTCATCAGACTACCTGTAAACATTAACATTCAGTGATTACCTACAACTGGAAATCTTTTTAAATTTAGCATTGCTCTAAGATTTTAAATTGAAGTTAAATGCTAGGCAGAGAATAGTGATTTTATTTCCATTTTTCAATGCCAAAAAATGACTGAAGTAGACTTCGACCACCCAATAAATTTTCCTGATTCACTGTTTCAAGTCAGTTCTCCCCCACTCTACCGCCTAATGCATCTTTCAAGGTCAAAGCTGAAAGATACCTACAGCAGATCAACTGTTCCTCAGCTATTTCCCCATACTTAACACTAAGTATACTTAACCTATTTGCCACAAGGCCTACAAAAAGACACTTGTCTAAGTGAAAAAAAGATCAGTGGTTGCTAGGGGTTGGGGGGGAGGAGACACGACCAGGTGGAGCACAAGGATTTTGACGGCAGTTAAACTATTCTCCCTGATGCTACAGAGATAGACGCAAGGCATCATACATATGTCAAAACCCACAGAATATACAACCCCATAAATGAAGCCTAATGAAAACTGTGGACTTTGGGGAATAATGATGTGTCAGTGAAGATTCATCAGTTGTAACAAAGGTGCCACTCTGGTGTGGAGCAGGGCAGCTGTTGGTTGGTGTGTGGGGACAGGGGGTGATGTGCACTCTGTATTTTCCACTCAATTTTGCTATGAATTGCTCTAAAAAAAGAAGTCTATATATAAAAAAGACATTTGTCTTTTTGATTGCTCTTTAAACACACTGATCTTAAATCTGCCAAATTCATACAGTCAGCATACATTCCAACAGCAAAATTTACACTTCAGAACTGACCTAGATCCGTCTGCAAACTTCAGGCATAATTACACACTAAGGCAATATAAAGATGCTAGAAATCTGCATTACAATAAAATGTTACTAACGTTACATT